ACTATTTATTCATATTTATTATTCATAAATTCCGTCACAAATGTTAGGCCTGCACCCCAGTGAGACATTTGCATTTTATTTTAAGTTGTTTTTTTTTTTTTTTCTCCCCTAGTTTTGTGCACTGAGATTTAATGATTTGCTTTTCCACAGAGTTCCCATGCTCACTCTCCTTGGCTCTTCTCGTCTTGTTTCAGGAAGAGATTTCTAACATGGAAAAGTGATATTTGAATAGATTCCCCCAAGGCAATCAATTTACTTTTAATTTGTCTGGAACTAAGCTTTTCTTTGTTGCAATGAGAAAAGATTGAAACTGCTGTAAAATTTATTAGCTTCCAGGAAGATTTTGAAATGAATTTTTTAATGATCGTGCTGTTTGCTGTACCCAGGAGCAGTGTCACCGTGATTACAGTACAACCATACGGCTGCTGGAGACGCACCACAACACAAAGATAAAGCTGTGCATCCATGGCAGGGTGCTGTTGGTCACGGCCAGGGCAGCCCAGGGACACTGCTCCCATCTCCTAACACCCAATTTTGGGTTTTGGGCCCAGCAGAGCGCATGCAGGTGCTGCTTCTGCCATCCGTTCTTTCTTACTTTTCATTTTCAAGCGTCTCCTCCACTCCTTTTCCTTGCTCTCCATGTAATAGTACAAATGAGCTCCACTTACTCACCCCTGCAAACCTGCTCTGACATGGATTGGATTGAACTGAGCGTCTGTTTGAAAATGGAAACTCCAGGGACTATTGTCATCGCCCAAATTGCACCTTAGATTGTATAACAGCACATGTCATCTGGCCATTTATCAGGAATATTACATTCCCAGGCACTTGCACCTCGGTGCGATTTAACTTTGTCTCTTTGGCCAGCACTGAGATTCCTCTGCAGATAATTCAATTGCTCTGAGAGTTGAATGGGCTCCTTTCAAACCGGTTTCATGTTGCGCTGCCGCAGAACCGAGTTCAGGTACTGGAGACTTTGAATAGGAGACTGAAAGCACTTGCAGGTGCAGGATGTCCATTAACCCTTCCTTTGAACTGCAGAGGGCCCCGTGCTGGGAGGAGTTGGAGGCTGTGCCGCTCCATGCACAGCACTGTCCCGCTCCATGCACAGCACTGTCCCTCTGTCCCCGTGTCCTCTGGGCTGTACAGAGATGAGCCATGGGGGTCGGCACTGCCTCTTCTCCTTCTGCAGCCCCTGCCCAGCTCTGACCCACCTGCAGCACTGGGCTGCCCGCAGCACATCGTTCCATCTCTGCTGCTCCCCCGAGGTACGGGCTGAGGAGGTTTGAAATCCGGAGCTCAACGTGGGTTTTGCTGTACTTGTCAAGGAGCGTATTAATTCCAGAGGTGGCTGTTGGTTTTATTTTATTTCATATTTGCTGTGCGAGAGCTTATGTTTAGCAGTGACACATTTTCTTCTGCCAAGGATAACTGCGCATCTTCTGGAAAGGCATCTGCTGGGCCTGCACCTGGGGAATCAGTTTAAAAGCACCATGCCCTGAGCTGCTGTGACTTGAGCTTGTGGGTTTGTGCTGGATGAAGGCAGGAGGTGCTGAGACGTGGGCACTGCCCTGCCCTGCCACTGGGGGACCTGCAGCTCCCATAAACACACCGATGGCAATTGGGCATGTTGTTCAACATCTCCCCCAATAGCCCGTGCACAGTGCAGGTATCCGACTGTCCTCCCAGCGTGTCTGTGGTGTGCTCAGCTGCTTAGAAAACCCAGTCCTGCTCAGGACACCCTCAAGCAAACAGTGTCCGAGACCTGAGCTGCCCCTTTTTTGCTCCTGCTGGGTCCTGCAGGCAATATTGCTCAGCCCTGTGCCACCCCTGTGTCTGGCGGATGTGGGAAACTGCCAGGTCTGGCTGCCTGCCATTCATCATGTGGTATGTGATGTGGGGGTTAGTACCTGTGCTTTGCTCCTTGCATTAAGAACATTTTTTAGTGCCGACAATAACAGTCCTATTGACTAGGGCAGGTCTAGAGCTGTAAAAGAATTTCCTGTCATCCTATTTCCGATTGTTAAAGAAGAAAAAGACAGAATAGTGCAATAAAGAATCCGTGAATGTGAATGGCTGTCCTGGGTGCCGTTATGGCTGGGTGAGTCAGACCTGGCTGCAAAGGGCAGCGAGGAGCCATGCCTGGAGGCTTTGTGCCTGCCGTGCCTGGGGCAGCAGCTCTTGTTCTCCGGTGCTTGGCTGGAGATGGATGCTGCAGTTCAGCTGCCTCTCAACTGTGATAGCAAAGGAGCCGTGCGGTGCTTATATGTATTAACAGGGCATGCTTATGGCATTAAAATGGTATTTTACATGATCTATGTGGTTAACAAGGAAATAGGGTGATTGGGTGAAGATCCTCATTCTGCCAAAGAGAAGGAGCTGCTGCTCAGTGCCCTGCGCTAGTGCCTGGGGTCTGCTGCCGGCTGAGGGCTCACACTTGTGCTGTCCCTGGGAGCAGGACAACTTCTGGCTCCTGGATTTGGTTTCAACAGAAGAGAGCTGAGACATGGTGGAGACAGGAGCAGGGAGACTGAATGTGGAGCTACTTGTTGTTTTCAGGTCTGTGGATGGATGGTGACTTGTGTCCCTCCACCTGCCAGCCTGCCATCTTTCATAGTTGTTTGCATTCCCACTCTGAAATTAAAGGTTGAAATGGTGCAACCCAACGCAATGCTTTTCATCCCTTCTGCCTGCACTCGAGCTGTCACTTGCAGACAGGCATCTGGTGTCCAAGCAGATAGGCACCAGCAGGCTTTAGTAAAACCGCTCCTAAAGCTCAGGTCCTTTCGTTGCATTTGAGGAAAATCTACTTGAACTACAGTAATCATAGAATTGTTAAGGTTGGAATAAACCACTAAGACTGTCCAGTCCAACCATCAACCCGTCACCACTGTGCCACTCCAGGGAAACAAGGTGAAGCCCTTGCTTTGTTTTTAACTGTACTGTATAGCAGCTTGCAGTAAGTAGCTTAGGGCAAACCAAACCCACCTGGGGTGAGCTTTGCCTTTGATGTGGTGATGTAGGGGGCTCACCCCCATGTGGTCCTGTGCTGGAGCAGACAACCCCAGTGCACCCCAGTCTGATGCTTTATAGTAGCAGAGGGGCTGACACGGTGTGTGCTGCAACATTGCACCCAAGGTCACACAGCACAGTAAATCACATCTCCCTGGGATGAGAACCCAAGATATTTCTGTACCCCCTCCAGCCACTACCAAGTCTTCAGCCAGACTACACAACTTTGTGTGCCTCTAGCACCCTTTTGAAGTTAAGCTGTGGATAAATAGGCAGACAGCAACATTTTCTGGGCAATTTTTCTCCTTTTTTATTTTGCTCAAGTACTTGAAAGCAACAGAATCAAACTGTAAGAGCATCGGCTTTCAGATCTTAGTGCAGGTTGTTCTGCATGTAAGGCTCAGAGCACCTTTCTCTAAAGCTGCTGTAAAGGAGGCTGCCGAAACCCAGACCTCCTACACAGCCACCTCGCGCTGTGCCTCGCACCACCGGGTAGCTGCTCTGATGGTGAGAAAGAGCTAATGTTTTACTCACAGCTTTCCAGTTAATTGGCTTCTTCTCCTTTAAAAAAAAAAAATCCCTTTTTTTGAAGTCTGCCTTTTACTCGTTTATTCTCTGTAAGTGTTAAGCTGCTCATATTTTGGTGCATTGTGTTATGTGCTGAGAATTTTTATCAGCTGCCCTAGTGCTAGAATGTGGTGGAAATACCAATGTGTCTGAGGAGCTGAGGTTATGCACACAGATGTACAAAGCATCAAAATGAACTGTTTCAGACAGACAGGAAGCAGACCAAGGCTGAGTCTGCACCTTCGGAGGGCTTGATCTATCACACCGACACCGATTGGGTGCATTCTCGTGTTGTTAATAGCATTAATTCTTCAACACTGCTTTGCTGCTTTACGGGTATATAGATTATAGCAGGAAGGAGCTGCATCTTTGCCTGTGAAATGAGGGCTATCTGCAATTACAAGTTCTTATCGAATGAAAGGAAGCTGGAGTCGTAAGCCGAGATTGAAAAGCAGCCAGGAGTCCACGATGTTTGGTGGCAGCCACGGTCTGGTGCTCAGCAAAGGCTCGGGAAGTCGAGACTCCTGGATTTGATTTCCAGTGTTGCACTTGGTTGAGCCCGTCTGCTTCTCTAGGTCTCGATTTATCCACCTGCAGTGGGGACAGCACCTCCCAGGGCGGCGGGGATGGGACAGTGCTTTGGGGACAGCAGTGGGGCACCTCCTGCTGCCAAGAGCCACATGTGGCTGCGCTCAGAGTGGGACAGGAGAGGTCCTTGGAAAGTATGAAATACTGTTCCATATTTCAGCCCTGTAAAGTAGGTTTGGGACAGCCCTAAGTTGAGAGAACAGATCTTTATTACTCTCATATGAATAAAGACCCAGTGCCGGAATGACATATTTAATCTTCAGTGGAGTGGACAGCCTTGGAGATTTATAAAGGCTGTGTTGTGTGGGAGGCCAGCGGAGTTGAGCAAAAAGTTGACACATACAAACACAGAAGAAAGAAAGCACTCTGTTCCCTCTGCTCGCTTCCCCCTCCAGGCCAACCTTAAGTGTCACGACAGACAGTGCTCAGAGCATGGTGGCCCTTAGCACGGGCTGCTGAAAGCAGGACCTGCTGACGGCATGCAGCCCGACATGTGGCACAACCCCGTCCTCATTTGTCTGCTGCTGTAACTCGTTTCCCCCACGTCTCAGGTCTGGCAGCAGCAGCAGATCATAGGACGGCTCAGGTTGGAGGGGACCTTAGAGATCATCTTGTTCCAACCCCCCTGCCATGAGCAGACTCGCCAGCCACTAAAGATGACACACAACCTGTTGGAAATTGAACTCTGGTCTTTAGAGCAGTGGAGAAATGGCTGTAAAAATCCCCCTTCCCTGCGCTGCTGTAAAGCTGACGGCCGTTTGCTGCAGCGTTGGGGCAGGGGGGTTTGGGCAGCACTCGCCCTTTTCACACGGCCTTGTATTTTCTCCATGCAGATCAGAGCGAAGGATTTCATTGCAGGGAAGAATGCCGCATCCTGGGCCACTCGGACCGGTGCTGGATGCCCCGCAGCGCCGTCCCCAGCCGCGCCAAGTCCCCCGAGCACGGCAGGAACGTCATCGCCCTCTCCATAGAAGCGACGGCGGTGGACGCAGAGCCTTACGCAGACTGTAGTGCCAAAAGGACCTTCGCCACTTTCGGCAAGGAGGGCGGCGAGCCGCCGGCCGAAGAACGGCCCGCCAACCCCAAAGGCAAAAGAACGGTGGAGCCGGCCGCCGGCAGCCCCAAGGTGAGCGGCACCGTGCGCGAGGCGGGCAATGGCTGCGAGGCCGCCAGCCCCGTCACCTCGCCCCTGCACCTGAAGGGCCCCGCGGCCTACGGCGGCCTGCCCTGCCCCGCCGGCCGGCCCCCGGCGAACACTGGCCCTGCGCGGCCCGCGGAGGCCGAGCCCAGGGGGGCGGACAGCGAGGGCAGCCTGCAGGAGGGCAACCCGCTGCTGCAGGACCGCAGGGAGAAGGACTCGCCGGCAGGCAGGAGACTGAGGGACATCGTCCTCTGAGCAGCGCCCGGCCGCCCAAGGGGCCCAGCGGGTCGTTTTTATCGCTTACCAATGGTTCACAGATCGCTGTATTTAAAAGCTTTCCCTAAATGTATTGTTTATAAATGAAGCTGTTGTTAATGTGACAATCCCACTTGTTTCAGCAGGCGGCAGGGGTGTTCTGTGGGCAAATAGCGCGTTTTCCTTTTGCCAAGAGGCAGCGGCAGAGCCAAGCGTCGCGTCTCTTGGATTTATATATTTTTGTACCTCAACGCCAACGTAAATCTCTGTAATGCTCAAGAATCGAATTCCAAATTCCCTCTACAGACCCTTTTTTGCAGGCAAAGCAATGGCCATTTCTTGCGCACGACTTTCAAATTACATCTGAGTGAGTTTTAATATTCGCCCCACGCAAGGTTGTTTCTGTCTGAAGATGTTGCTATTTTGCTGTGGACACCCCTGCGTTTATGAATCCTTTTGCTGTCACATGCTTATCTGTACTACTATTGTATTTGATATCGCAAATTACTGTCCGTCTAGTGATGGCAAAAGGCTTTCAAGTTTAAAACAAACAATCACCACCATCTCACCGAACCCTTGGGGAGTTCCAGACCGAGTGGGACAAGTGCTATTTCCAGTCCCCACCATCTGCAGCCTCCACCTGCTCTCAGGGCAGGATGTTATAAGAAGGCATCTTGGGGAAAATTCTGCCTGAATTGCAACCGCCATATGCACTGTGCCGAAGTTTTTCCCTTTATCCACTTCCTTAGTGTAACTTCAAGGCAATGCATGGAAAGGTGTTTTTTTTTTCCAGAAGTTTCTTTCTTGTTTTCAGCTCCTGGATTTAGACATGCCCTGTCTCGAGTCATTTCAAAGTCAAAGTGACGGAATTATTTAGGAGATCTAAATTACCTTCTCAATTAGACACACACTTCCCAGTCAGCGTTTCCCAGCCATGATTATGCTAAGTGTGTGTGTGTATGTATGTCATCATGGCATGGATTTTAGACTGTTCCGATTTCTTTTTATCCCTGCATCATGAATAAGCATGGAGTGAGCAACAGCGATGTTAATTTAGGGGCAGACAGGTGATATGTAACAACACTACTAATTCAATTAATGTGCCTTCTTAATGGAGAAAAAATTAAAGCGATTCATTATTTTTTCTCATAATTAGGGACTTTTTTTTGTGTGGGTACAAATTTACTCATATAAAATTGATTTAAAGATTGAGCTACTTTAATAGCCATTTTGTAGGGGGGAGAGACGGGAAGAGTTTCACAGCTCTCTGCTCTCTTTCAGTGATAATTCCTCAGTGAGGTATGAGTACGGTAGGAGGATTTCAGTTAGTGTAGCATTTTTATTAACCCTTCACTTGTCAGATTTTCCTACCTTAAATAATGTTTCATAGAATTTAAAATTGATTTTGGGAGGGAAAATATATAGCTCTTGCCAATGTTTGCTGTACCAGCAAGTTGAAATTAGCAGTTTCTAGAGAAATAGTCTTTCTAGGCATACATTTCATGATAAAATATTTGTTACTTTGATTTATTTAAATTAAAAACGTCAACAGGAAAACAAGCTCCAGTCATTATTGTCCTCAACATAAAATAAGCTCGAGTAATTTGTTTCTTCAGGGTGAACTGACACTGCCTGAAGTTGTAGCCATTCTGAGACAGGTTGGCAGTCAGTGTATTCCCCATGCCACTTGCTAGGGCCAGGTGTTGGGAAGGAACCAACCAACAAAGGTCCTCTAACAAAATTTGTGATGCTTCCCTCTGGTGTTATTACTACCTCATTCAGATCAAATCCTGTGCATTAATGTAATGTCATGTACCCCTCCTAAACGTGAACCAGGGATTTTTCTCTCTCTTCTGGAGTTTGAGCCTGTGGTTAAGGGATATGTTATTTCTGTTCCTGCGTTGTTTCCTGCCTGCGTACTGTACTGCTGTCATTTGTTTTTGGTTTTGTTTTTGTTTCTTTCCAAATGTGTGTATCTTTATAAAACAAGCAACAGAAGAAACGGGCTGGCTTGGGGCTGTTAAAGCAACTGGGTTTTCTGTAAACGTTAAGCTGGGTTTATTCTGACATTACCTGTTTTTGTCAGCTCTGCTGGGCTTTCTTTGAGGAAAATCCATGTATTATTTTGCTGAGCGAAAGCGCCTGCTCGATACACATCTGTCCCCTCTGCAGAAACCATCCCATGCCTTTGAACATCATCCCCCCATCACAGACAGACCTCGCAACCTCCATCTGGGAGCAGGATGGGACCGGTGCCCTCGGCCCCATCACAGCCACAGGGATGAGAGCATGGCCCCCTTTGCCCCAGGCATCCATAACCCCCACCACCCGCCTCCAGCACCTGAAAAGTGCTGGCTGTTAATTTGTGCTGAGCCTTGCCCTCTGCCTGCGGAGCTGCCACCACCAGCCTGGTGATTTTGGATGAAAAATAGATGCTAACTGAAAAGGAAGAAAGGGAAAAAAAACCAACCCAGAAACATTTCTCTAATTTACCCAGAGGAAACATTCCTTGCCACTCTGAATAAAAGCACAGCCGAGAAGGGATGCGAAATAATTCTGTATTAAAAGGGGGCATTCAAGAGGTCAGTAAGCCCTTATGCCTCCAAGAAAATCGTTTAAACAACAGTTTTGCCTGGGCTGACCCATGCCACAGCTGAGGATGCTGAGCGAGGGGCCCTTCCCTGCCATGTCCTTGCTGTGTGGGATGAGGGCCTCCACTCCACCTCCCCTCCCTTCATTGGATTTGGGCACTTCTGTCACCATCCTTCCCTGTCATTTGAGATGAGTTCAGGGCTCCTGGGCAAATCACAGCATATCTTAGTTTTGTAATAGCTGCATCAAAACTGGTCATGCAAAAACATAAAGGCTGCAGGGTGGGTGATTTTTTTTTGGGGGGGGGAGAGAGGCTCCAGACCCAATGAATGCTTCTTTAGTAACTTAAACCTGTCCTCAGATTTGGTTTAGGAAAGCAAACTTGGATCTGTTGGTTTCCTTCAGGCAGCCTTGCTCTGCTCCCCTGGAGAAACAGGGCAGCAGCTGCTGTGCCTGATTCTGTACCGAGCATGACGAGGACCTGGTCTGGAGCAGCCCGTGCGATGTCCCTGTGTGCCACCCTCTGCCAGCTTGAATGTCCCTTCATCACAAGGGATGGGCAGCGGGGACGGGGACCTTTGGTGGCTGAGAAAACCATCGCTGAGTGCTTGGTGCACTGTTGTGAAGCTGGAGGTGGCCTGTGGATCACACCTCACGCAAAAGTGAATTCCCTTCTGCTTTTTTTTTGTTTTGTTTTTGTATGTTGGTTTTGTTTTTTTTGTTTTTTCTTTTTTTCCAAATAGGAAACAAGTTCCTTTTGTAAAGAACACACTGTCTGATGAACATGTTGAAATTATTCATGGGAAAAAAAAAATAATTATGAACGGAAACACATTTGTCTGTCGTTGGGGAGCATGGATGATCCTGTTGCTACTGCTGCTTTTGCAGCTCTGGTGATCCTTTACCCCATCCGGGAGCTGTGGTTACCTTGGGGAGAAGCCCAGCCGCCTCCACTGCAAGCACTGCTGGGATGGATCCTCAATCGCCATCAGCTGATGTTCAGCTGATCTACGCTGGGATATAATCTTTAAACACAAAGAGCTGACCTAATGCAGACTGCTTTTCAGCAAGCATCGCCTCCTTGCACTATTCCAAGGTGACAGGTATGAGCTGCAGGCGGCGCGTCCCGCAGCAGGAGGAGCAGCACGGCACCGCGCGGCGGTGGGACTCAGTGCGGTGCGTCTCGTCGTGGTGTCTCCGTTGCTGATGATACGAAGAATAATTTGTTGTATATGCTGATATGTATGTTATGTACATTTTCACAGTGATTGAATCATTGTAAAGAACAAAATGGAAAAGAAAAAAAAAATTCACCATTCTGTCTATTTTATGAAGATGATAAAGCAGCTTTATTAAATTATTACGATTCTGTTTCAAAATGGTGTACCTGCCACATGGGTTTTTTTCATCCGATGAGAACTTTGTTTTCCACCTAAATGTGACTTTCTTTTCTCTGCTTTGAGCATCTAATGCATTTTAGTATTAAAGCAATTATTGAATAAAATGGAAAGTAAGTGTTTGGTTACAAACATGCCTAAGTGGGTTTGCTTTGATGGGCTGAAGGTGCTGGGTTTGCAGAAGCCAGAAGGAGCTCAGACACCCATAAGGTCTCAGTGGTGCCACCACAGCCCCATCCCCACGCACCTCTCCCAGTTGTTTGCCTTTGGTGTCCATGGGCTGTCCTGGCCCCCAAGAGGTGTTGTCCCCTGAGGCAGGCAGGCCCTGAGCCCCACGCAGCTCCAGTTATGGCAGAGCACTCAGGGGCATGAATTGATAGGAAAACCACCGACAGCCCACACTTTTTTTTTCCATTGAGACACCAAAGAGAGGAAGAGCTTATTTCCCTGGATTTTCAGGAGGGCACTTTGGAGGCCCTGGGGAGATGGTGAGGAGCATCCGCTTGCTCTGAATTAATGGCCTATTAATAGAGCTCTTCCAGGAGCATCGCAGCGCTCTGCGGGTAACTGGGGTGAGTGTCCTCTTCTGCTCACTTAAAGGCTCTGCCAAGGAGACACAGAGGTTGCAGTGGGATGGGAGGAAGAGCCCTGTTTGTCAGTGGGGCTGCTCCGTGCACAGGTGGGAACCTGGAACGTGTTCAACCACACCATAACAAATAGGTTAAGGGCGGATGCGTCTGCCCAGTTTTGTTTTGGAAGACATAGGGAGCTTACAGCTCGCACAGCTGCAGCCACCAAAGCCTGCCCACAGCACCTGGCGCTGGCTGCACCTCGTCAACGAGCCGCCTGGCAGGTGGGTGAGAGGAGGTGGTAAGCTGACAAAAGCAGGCTGCGCAGGGGGTGTCTGTGGCTTCAAACCCTGCTCTCTCCAGGCTATTCCATGAGGTGGAGGAAGGCTCCTGCAATGGGATGTGGCACCGTAGTATCCCTGCGGCTGGGCTTACTTTGGATACAGGAGCTGACGCTCCCAGTGCACAGCGCTGGGGAGCTGCCCTCGAGCAGAGACAAAGGCTGGGGATGTTCCCTTAGAGCACTCCCTGCTCGCTGGCACAACCTGCAGGGCCCTGGGGGCACCGGGTGCGGCTGTGATTTAATCAGCCCCTGATGGAGGGCAGCTCGCTGTACCAGCTGCCATGCTGCTGCTTGCGGCGTGCTGGGGACTCTGAGATGTCAGCACAGCGACGTGTCCCCACCGTCCTCCCCGGCCAGCTGTCCCTCTCCTCTGTCCCCACTGGCACACCTCTGAGACCTGCAGCATCTCTTCTGCTGATACAGCAGCCGACAGCGCCTGTGCCCGAGTTTGTATAAATAACAGTGCCAGGAAAGGGCTGAGGTAGACAGTGGGAGGGAAGGGGTGATTTAGAGCCCTCTGCAGAGGAGGAAACAAAGAGATTTTTCTTAACAGTGGTGCTGGTCTGGAGGAATGTGTCCCCTATGGGTGCTGTGCACCCTGCAGTGGAGGAGCGGAGCTGCAGGGATTTGGTCACAGGGACTGTGAGATGGGAGAGGGAATAAATCAGTGTGCAGGGCTGGCGGCCCTCGTGGCTCAGGTTCAGAGCCGGTTCACAGACACAGATCTCATTTCTGTTTCTTCTAGACATTATTTTATATTTGATGTTCAACTGGAATATCTAAAGAGAGCCAAATTGGATTAACAAGCAATGAATTATCATACACTTTGACTATTAAGCCCACAAAGACAAGAACAAATAAATTGGAGGAATCAAAGCTCTGAAAGCACAGAGCAAGAATATATGTATTTGTTTGAAGCGTGGCTCTACAAACACAGGGCATTGCAGGAAAGGAAGTGCGGGCAGCTGTGCCCACTGCAGCAGGATGTGGATGGGGAGCTGGCTGTCCCTCCTTGGTCACCCCCTGTCCCTGCTGCTCCATGGGCTGGATCCCAGCCCTGTGCAGGCAGGGTGATGCTGCTGCTCACCCTGGGCTGAAACTGGAGTATAACTTTTGCTGTCAGTCCCAAGGACCCATCCACTTGTTTAACTTGCATCTGTTTCTTTTTTGTTTTGTTCTGTTTTCTTGTCCTTTGAAGATGATGCAACCTGTTGGTCCCTTAAGAGCCGCTGGAGAACAAACATCAGCAGGTGCACAATTATGGAGCTCACCTGTCAGCAGCTCCCTGCCCTCTCACAGGTGGTGGGGAAGAGCTGGAGCAGGAAAGGAGGCTCTTTGGAAACAAAGAGTGCTGTGCGTTAGGGCACACATCACAGAGCTGGCAGGCTGTGGGCAGCATCACTGGGAAGCTGTGTGCACGTGGCTGTGCTGCAGTGTTGTGGACAATCCTGAATAAAAAAGTAAATGGAGATGAGTGGTGAACAATATTCACCCCATCATGAACTGAACTTAGAGTTTTTTCCCAAGAAAAATAAGTAGGTTGCTCCAAAAGTAATACCTCCTATCTATTGTCATGGAAGCTACAACAGATCCGAAGGGCACAACGACACTATTTGATAGAGCAAATTCTCAGTTACAAAACGTTGCTTTTCAACATAGTCACCATCATGAGCTATATGTTTTCATCAGCAATGAACGAGAGCCTGAATGCTACACTCATAAAAATCTGCACCAGCAGAGGTGATTGTTTCTTTCACAGCTGCTATGATGGTTTTGTTGCTAGGAAGATGCTGCCCAGGAAGTCCAAATTTCACTTGCTGACATCCCACTGTTTGGTCTCCATAAACATGAAGCAAGCACTGAATGTCAATGGGCACCATTTCTTTTGCATGGAAGAATTCAGTTTCACACCTTTTCTTCATCCACACTTCCATGTCTGACCCTGCTTTGTCAGACTGTCCCTCTGCTGCCATCTGTCACATGGCAACGGAATGGAATGAGGTATTGTTGGGAAGGTTCAACCTCTATAGCCATACCACGAACAACCACCTCTGATGTTGTATGCCAACGTAATAAAATAGGAGGCGTTACTTTCAGAGCAGTCCTCATAGTCTCTAGACTTCTTCTGAATGCGAGCAGGGGTCAACAGGGTGAGTGAAGGTGCCTGGGGCAGCAAGAGAAGCACAGTGCCATGATTCCCCCTTTCCATCCCAAACCCCTGCCTTTCCCTGCCACGGCTGCTCTCCCACCACACCCACTGGTGCTGTAATGCCAGTGCATTACTCCAGCTTCCACCTGTGCCAGGCTGTGCAAGCACAGTAACATTGCTCTATGAGTGCAGCGCTGAGGGCTACCTGTCTGCATGGAGACTGCCCCGTGTGGGGGCTGGGGCAAAAGGTGGCAGAGGGATCCCTTGGCAATGCTCTGAGCAATGCAGAGAAGCCCTCTGCTGCTCTGCTCCCTTGGTGCCCATGCAGAGAGCAGACAGAGGCGGAGTTGTTTTGACTGGAAAAGGAAAAAATGAGCAAACAACATTCTCCAGGTTTCTTTCTCTCCTTTTTCTTTTTTTTTTTTTCACTTTCCAAAAAAGGAAAAAAATTTTTTTTTTTTTTTTTTTTTTTTTTTTTTTTTAAGTCTCCTCTCTGCCTGTTCTGCAGAGGCTCAAAGGCTGTTCTTTATCTATTTGATTCTCTGTAAAATTGATCTTATTCTCTTTGGAGGAGTTAGATTTAAATCACAGGATGAAATCTGGGCCTCAGTGAATCAATATCAAATCTCCTATCAACAACAGCCCGGGGTGGAGATTTTGGCCATGGACCTTTGGCTCCCAGTGGGTATGTCACCTGTTGATGGAGGACATCCCAGCCTCGGCCCTGGCTGTGTTTGGCACTGAGGCAGGGCAGACATCTGCTCGCAATCCCAGCTGAAGGTCTTTGGTACAGCTATGGGCGACCTCCCCAAGGCTCATCTTGCTCATCTCTGTTGTGTTTGTGGCTGCTGATGGGTCGGGGGGCAGCGGGCTCCATCCATCCTCACCATCCCTCCACCTGGTCCCTGGAGGTAGGCAGCACAGCAAAACTGTGTCTTTATCGGAGGCTACCGGTAGCATTGAGCTGCTTTTGAAGTCTCCAAAGAGATCCGAGATGTTTCTTGATCTGCTCTTAAATAAGTCATTGCGACTGCTGTTAACTTGCATTAAGCAGCACGGGGTGCGTGCAGCCCGGTGCCATGCGGGAGCGGGGCGGTGGGGAGCCTGCTGCAGGGCTCAGCCTCCGGGAGAGGCTTGGGGGCTTTAAATATTTCATGCACAAAGTTTATTTTAGGCTGTGCCTCTGGAATGTAATTGGTTGGAGGCTGGTTTTTGCGAGGCAAACGCTTGGGCCATGTGGCAGCAATAGATCGGCATGGTGGGATGTTTGCTGGGGACAAAGCGGTGCCCGCTGGCGTTCTGTTAGCAGCAATGTTGGCAGGTCAACCTGTGTCTTCAAAGTGCTACTTTTCTGCTTTTGCCTGTTCCCCTTGGATTCTCTTCCCACCAGCAGCACCTTTAGCATTTATCTCATTCAAGGCCTCTAAGCAAATCTTATCTCTACATTTATTGCATCTTTGGGAATAGTAATTTTCAAGTCAGCTTTCACATTACTCCGTATTTGTTACTACTCCTCTGTCAAGGGAAAACCTGGCTCGTTATTAGTTCTCTGCCTGATACAAAACATTTAATTTGAACAGAAACCACCAAGAGAGAGATACATATTGCTTTTCATAACCAAAGTGTCAACATCTTGACCAGACCGTAGCTGAAGTAATCTTTACCATATGGTGGATTTTTATACTCCAACGTCACATCTGCATTCCCGCTGCCTCTCCTTTCATGCTGGAGATGCCGTGCTGGTGATAAAAGGCTCTGTCTGCATGTCCTTCCTCACACAATCACAAAAGGACCCCTCAGCAGATAAGGAACTAAACCTGAGATACAATAGCTGTGGCTTCCCACTGGCTTTCTGCTCAATAGCTTTCTGCTATGCAGGGGAAAAAAAAAAAAAAAAAAAGAAAAAAAAGAAAAAAAAGAAAAAGAAAAAAGGGAAAGAAAAAGAATGGCAACGAGGGAGCATGTGTTGGGAAAATAAGCCCCTGTAAATCCCAGGGAGGGTACGGCGGCAGAATATGCTGGGAATGGCGACGAGAACA